CTGTTGTTAATATGTCTTTTAACGCTTACGATTCTTAGGTGTTTGCTTATCACTTTATTACAAATATAGCATAGTGCTTTTAACAAAAGTTATAAAATATTCTTTATGGTATATGAAGAAGCTTTGCAATAAGTCACATATCCACAGAGCAATAAACTATGTACACACCATAACATCATCTGTGACAAGCGATTGCAACAGTAATATTATACGAAGATACCAACACCTCAACCACACACATCAGATTTTTTCAGTCTGATTTTTGTTTAAATGGGAAGTTGGAAAAATGGGTTTTCAGAAGAAAAAAGAAATTTCAACCGAATGCATATAGTGTCCCTGCAAATAATGAATATTTTGAGAAGTTATAAAATAAATGGGATACTATTGTTAGAAGTGCATATAGATGGAAATTAAAAGTTAAAAGTAAATAAAAATTTGTGTAGTTTTAATACACTTCAGAAGGAGTGTTACCTTATTTGAGATACTTATTTACAATATTTACATTCAACTATTCATATGTTCGAACGCGATGTTCAAGTTGTTTATACCATAGGTCAGGTAGCCGCCACAAATTAAAATTTTTTCATTTAAAACTGACTTTTGAACACCCCAGGTGTATATATATCAAAGAGCACAATAGACCTGACGGTCGCAGTGCCACTTCCCCAACAATAATACATAATATAATCAACGTAATTAAACATTTAAATAATTATTTTTAATAATCAAAAAGACACAGCTTACAAACTTAGAAATGTTTTCAAATGTTGAAATTCATCTCAGAAATTTATCAAAATTTAAATAAAAAATAAAAGTTGAATAACAAAACACAGCAAATATTGATGTTAAATAATATGTAAAGGGCAAAACTGCAATGGCACAAAAAAGAACCCATAAAAAACGAAATGAGCATTGTGGAACTGAAAAAGTTTTCCAGTTATGACGGTTGTGTGCGGGCCTAAGCGAACGGTACGATTACACAGGAAGTAAGTTTTTTAATAAACACAACGCAATATCGTCTCAACAGGCCACGTTGCAATATTGCCACATAGCAATGCCAGCACAAACCAACATCAACATACCGAGCCATGGACATAATCAAAACATACACAAGGATGAATGGGGAAGGCGTAGGTTTGAAAAAATAAATTTTAAAACTCAGCACAGACATACGTACACACCCAGTAACAAAGTCCATACAATTATTAACAAAGTTTTTTCTGCTGAAATAAAAGCTCACCTAGATTTTTTACGTCGGTTTTATCCTTTAGCAAGTGTTTTTAATGTTTTTGATGTGCGGTAAAAAAATGCAAGAAACTAATATGGCACAAGGACACCTTCACAACGATTTCATGCATTTAAATTCAAAGCAAAGTTAAATAAGCAAAGGGAAAAACCTATACCAACAATAGCAATAAAAGCAATGAACCGAATGTAGTTCATCACTAAAGTTTAAATTTTTATGAGTTAACTTTGTTTATATGATTTTTCACTAACATTTTTAAAACCTTTTTTATGAGTTTTTATTTTAAAAGCAGCAGCAAAAATGTAGTGTCAAAAGGCGATTTTAATCATAACAAATTTAATGAAAAATAAAGCATAAAAGTTGATAAGAATTGTAATAAAAATAAACTGTTTTTCATAATATCTAATACCGAAAAAGTTTGTTTATTCATTAAATTTATATGTCTCTTTTTTGTACTTTATACAAAAAACAAATAAAAAAAATTATTCTTAAAACATTTTCAACGATAAAATAGCAACAATTGTACTCTATATTTAATGATATATTTTAGTCTTCATCACTCATGAAATGCCATGACTTTAGCGACTGGTATCGTGTTTGCTAAGTGGGTTCTGACTTATTTCTACAGTATTCTACAGTAGGTGGAAATCATAGCCGTAGCAAGTCTCATGCAACGTACTAAAACTACTTTAAAAGTCAAAAATACATAAAAGATTCTTATCATAGGTATAAAAACTATTCGTTTTATATAGTTTCACTATGGAAATTAGAAAAATCTGTAATAGTGGAAGTGGTCTATTTTATTTGTATATAGCATAAAAATGTCATTTTTCCAATTATTAACGTGAAAACTTGTCCATTATTGTGTCTATACTTTCTGAAAGCATATTTAAATAAAAGTTGGTACGCCTTTCCAAGATGTATTTTTGTCTATTAAATTTAAATGAAGAACACGTTTAGCGAAGTATTTTATACATATCAACCAATAGAGCTTAAGCAATTTCTAACAGCATTTAAGGACCTAATAATAGGTTTTAATTTTTTTTAGAGATTAAATCGTTTGAAGTCTTTTAATTGCGTTAGCCAAGATGTTTTATTTCCATCTTCTATTCAAGCAACTACAATAAACCTCTACCAGTTCTTCTTTCTTAAGTCCCCAATTCTGTAATAGTATACCCATTATTATTTTAAATAAATTTTTTCTAGAAAATATTTATACTTTTGCTAAACAATTCCTCTGCGAAATTCTTTCATTATGGTGATACTATCAACTGCCGTCATTTTCTTAAATTCTTTTATTTTTTCTAGTTTTTCAATTTTTTACGCTAAGTTGAGCACTAACTGCATGCCTATGTGGAATATATGATATTAAATAAATAACTTTAAATAAAATTTCATTAAAAATGTAATATATGACGTATAGTTAAAATTTGTTGAACATCTTGTTCGGAGCCACCACAGATGTACGATCCATTAATTAGAGGAACATTTGGATCAACTGTTCTGAAGTAGATTATAAAAAAAACATTATTTTTGACAAATTTATTAAATTTATTAAACAATTTAATAATTTCACTATACATATTACTTTTAACGAATACTTTTTACAAAATCAAACATAAAAAAAATTAATATAAGATTAATTCAATAATTATGATGTCCTCAATTTTTTTTTTATGAAGGTAGTAAAGTTAAGGAGCTTTTTGCAAGTTATAGTTCTGGACTTGTTGAAATGAAATCATTTTACGTGATAAGAATATTTAGATATTTTTAAATGTTTTAGTGATTATTTTAATGATATTGTAAGTTAAATGATATTAGTTACATTAGCTGCTATATTAGAGCTTGAAATTGAAGTTTCCATACCAGTACCTAAACTTTTAATCAATTCCTAAAATATGAAAATAAAATATTCAAAAACTTATCGTCTCAAAATATATTCATGTTAATGACTATTTAAAAATGTACTGTAATGCAACTTTGTAAAGGCAAATACCTCAAAGAAGTCATTGCATTGTGAAACTTTTTCGTTGTCAATTAAAAAGTATCTCAGAACACCAGCTGTTCAACTTGTCCAACTTTACTGAACACAGTCTATACTTGAACTAAGAAGAACAGAAGAACAAGACAACACAGTTGCGGATTAAATTTGTTGAAAATTGAATAAAAGAAACTTCAAATGTTCATGTAAACTTTTTCGAAGTCACGATAAATGCCTTAAAGGACAATTTTTTTGTTTATTTTACTCAACTTAGGTTCAAACTGTATCTATAAGCTATTTACGTTGCCTGATTGAACATGTGCGCTGTTACTTACTTGATCGAGACATTGAACTCATTTACTACACGATACGTAAATCAAGTGATGTATTAACACGTGATCCCATGCAATTAGGTTCTCAAGTAAGTAAAGAATCCTAACAAAAAAAGTTATTAATAAATTATAATTTTGAACTTTTTTTTTATTTTCCAGCTGATATCTTGGTTACGTCCCATTAGCGAACACGATGAAAACGATAATTCCTTGCTCAGCATCACAGTACGTTCGGCTACCGCTTGGTGTGATGGTTATGCAGTGCCACTATTAGTACCGCTTACGGGTTGGTTACCAGCGCCTTTACCTTCACAAATACGTACAATGACTGTATCAGGTACTGGACCTATACGTGAAATATGTGTAGCACCTTCTCGACAACATTTGATACTGTCCACAAACTCAGGTGATGTGCAGAAGTGGCATATTATGAGCAACTCTTTGGAATATATTTTTAAAGGTCAGTTTTTTAAACAACACTAACAATATCTTAACTGTGTGTTTTACTTGAGAATTCGTTATTAAAGAACCATTTGCTTCAAATTCAGCTATCACTGTGCTAACAAATAGTATTACTATACGTCACGTAGTGCAGTAGCCATTAAAAATGAAACATTGCTTTTATGACTACACGCGTTCCTTAATTTGCTCATTATAGTTTTTTTTATACTAATTAATTTTGTTGCTGATTTGTTAGAAATTTTCCTTAAAATGTTGTTCTATATATATATATTCTAGGGCATACTGCAGCTGTCACGTGCATGTACGTCGCACCACAATCTGATATGCTACTGACCAGTTCTGAGGATGCCACTGTGATTGTATGGAACGTGACGACACACGAGCTCAAGACTCACATCAAGTACGTTTAAGGCATTTTTTATGAACTTTTTGAATTTGTTTTGTATCTCTTTGCCACGATATCATTTCGTTCCATTTAAAATCAATTTTTCGCTTTTTATGTTATTATCCTTTTTTAACACGTCTTGTTTATTTGCAGAACACATACGTCTCTTGTCACAAGTGTTACAGTGGGTGTCAATAACACCTTGGTTATAAGTGGCGATGAAGACTCAAATATTATTGTTTCAGATATTAACAATGGAAAATTGGTAAGTTTACACAAAACATTTAGAGAACCTCACAAAATATATGTAAATAAGTGAATTTAGTGAATTTATAATTTTTAAATATATTTAAAGCAAATATATAACTATAACCTATTATAACAAAAATATTTATCAAAAATCAATAATCCTTTCTGTATCCTGCCACATAAATTACATGCACACCTGGAAAATATTTTCTTTATAATATCAACTGATTAAGGGTTTATGACTTTCATAACTTAATTTCAGAGTTCTGTGCTTTGTTAACTTAAACGAAAATGCTTTTCTACGGTATCTGTCAGGTTGATATTTATGTTGCATCATAAATAAACCGAAATACCAAACTTGACCGTAGTGAACGGAAACTGAATTCAGTGTTCACACAGCACTCACAATAGTAGTCCTGTCGCAGACGCTTATGGAAGCGATGTGCCAAAATTTCAAACATGAAACGACTGGCCAAATTTTTCACTGCCAAGTGTACGACGTACGTGCACCCAGGCAGGTTTACGAAAAATGCTTTTTTATGAAGTCATGTAATTATCATCAATTTTTTTTCACAAAAAATATAAAAAAAAATATTTAATAATTGAAACTGATGCCTTTTTAATTAATTTGTAAAGATATTTCACTTCTGAGGATTTAAAATAATACAATATAAATAATCATTTAAAATGGCAGAGTCAATGTAATCCGTGTATTACTTTTTATAAAAAGAATTTAATATTTTGTGAAAATAAAACAAATTATTAAGAAAATGGAATGCAATTAAAATCTAGTTGCAAATTTTAATTAAAGTCACTTCTTTGAAATTCATGCAAATTTATTATTATTTTCTCTAAAATTTTTTACATGTAATAATAGGAAGCAAAGTATAACAAAAATATTATATGCAAACTATTTATTTTACCTATTGGAACAAATCAACTAAAAAAATCATTATTAATACCCAACTCCTAACAACAGAAGTCGTCTACGCTTGAAATTTCCGCAGCTTCAAGAGCCTCATAATACGCAGCGACAAGCATAATTATTGACACAGCAAGCATATTGAACTTTAACACTTTACCCCGTTTTTGATGCGACTTTTCATCAAAAAAAAATTTTTTTATATAAAATGCTTAATTTACAATTAAATACATTTTATTTCATTATTTTATCTCTCATATTTAATTTTTTAAAAATAAAAAGCCAAAAAAGGTACTAAATTAGGCTGAACAAAATTATTGGTACTTCTTATCGGCTCACTTCTTCTGAATAAATTAAAATGAAATTAAAAAAATATTTACGGTGACAATTAATATTTAGTGGCCAAGCTCTTCTGTTTAATAATAGCTACTGTTCGCTTTGGCGTCGAAGGAATTTGTGAAACTAATAAAACTCTTCTTCTAACCCTTTGCACTTTTCTCCTTTCAGACAATCTTGCTTATATTCGACGATCTCCTAATTTCCTTTATGGTGCTCTCTACAAGCAATTACTTTAAAGTTGTTGATTGACTTACCGCTGAACGTAAATAAATCAAATATGGGAGGTTGTTTTCATAAGTCTAGTTTTTCATTGTTCTTTAATGTTTCCGCAATACAATAGTTTCTATCTTCTGTTTATATAATGCTTTAATAGTCTAAGCGTTGGCTGCATAAATGAGTTTTTGAAGCACTAATGCCTTGACTAATCGAAACTTTGTAGTTTTACTAGTGGCAAAGCCCAACCATCATCTTATTTTAAAAAAATCTCACCTAACAATTTACATCAACTAATGTGAGATCAGCCTAATAACTATCGCTAATACCCATCAATTGAAATACTACAATCGATCTTTTTCCGTTATATATCCTTATTGAATAGCATGAGGGTTTACTGTTTATAGTACTATATACATATATTTGCAAATATTTATATATAATACAATATTAAAACATGTTGTTCAAAGCTTTTGAATACTGAGAGATTGATATTTATTTACATATTTATTTAATTTTAATAATTAAAATATTTTTGTTTATTTTTTATGACCAAACAATTGTATAATATTTTTTTAAGTATGGGTTAGTTGATCAATTAAAATACAATTGTTATATTAAAATGTTATTGTTTATTGTTTTCAGTAGTCTATAGTAAATGTAACAACAACTTATACTTTTTTCTATGCAAATTTTTTTACTACTTAAAATTTTTCAAAAAGTATTCAATATGCAACTTTGCCACAGATATTTTTAATTAATTCAGTAGATTTTTTTCTGCTGCAACAAATTTAGATTCTAATACGTAATTTATTATTTTGATCGCTCGTAATTTACCTTGCAAAATTATAGATTTCCGGTTCATTAGCACTGAAGTGGAATGAGCTGGAAAATATGAATACCTACTAACTAACGCTAGTGCATGTATAAAACCCAGCTGAACGATGTTTCTGTAGAGAGTTGCACACTTATGCATTTCGATTAACCTCTTGAGCTGCTTAGATAAATTGTTGCCGCTTCCGTTAATATTTTTGCAACCTCTTTTTTAATTCGCTTCACATTCACATCGTGGCATCAAGTTTGCTTACGTATAGTTTGCTTGCCAGGACCCCTGGCAGATTCAATGTTGTTGCCGTTACTTCCGTACGTAATAAGCATTACTCTATACTTATGAGCAACATAAGAGTTTCCTTCTTTTTTCTCATTGAAAAACTCATAATTTATTTTTAATATTTATAAAGTTCGTGATTTAGATAATATTTATTTTTATGTCGGGTAAACGAAAATGGAAATATTAAATTTTATTTAAACGAATTTTTTTTTTAACTTTACTTAATTAAAATGTAGTTTTGTAAATTTGATCATCTTCTCGATTTTGCGACAAAAAACTCAGTATTTTCTTTAAATTTTCATCTTTAATATTAATAAATATCCCAGCTATGTGAATATGAAAACTATTTAACATATGTATTGTATATAATAATCTCTCTCTCTCTTATCCTTATCTCACAGTGGAGCATAGGGGCTCTACTATCTTTTTATATCGTATTCGGTTATTTGATTCACGGCATATGTCACTCCAGGAATAGTTCGCTTCTCTTAGTTATTTTTCAATTGTTCTTCTCCAAGTTTTAGCCGGCGCTCTAGGTCGACGACTGCCTTAAGAATTCCATCTCAGAGCTTGACGTGCAATGTTTCCATTGGGTCTGCGTATATTGTGACCTATCCAGCGCAATTTACGTCTTCTTATCTCCATAGTAGCAGATGATTTATTTGTAACGACCCATAGGTTGGTGTTTGTGATGCGGTTGGGCCACCATATTTTTAATATTTGTCGTAAACATTTGTATTGTATTGTAGTTTGTATCATAATGTGTGAGAAAACAATTTTCATTTTATAATCTAACGTTTCGGGAGAACATATTTAAATTTCTTTAACTTTCTTGTAAGAAATAATAGAATATTTAGAATTGATTCTGTAATGTTCAAATATTGCCTTTTCATTATTTTCTAAGACGATATACTACTCTCTATAACATTTATATGTCCCGATGTTAGGTTTTTCGATACTAGCGTTATATGTTGACGATATGTGTATGCTATATTCAGATAAATGTGCTCTCAACATAAACCTCATCCTGGAGTATTCCCAGAAATGGAAAATAAAAATCAATAATGAAAAACCAAGGCTCTGTTCATTACGCGTAAGCGGAGACAAAACCCGTCGAGAGTGAGATGGGAGATATGGTAATAAACTGGGAGGATAGCTTTAAATATTTAGACATCACGGTAGACAAACATTTCAAATGGCTTAAACACGATCAACTGAAAAGAATTAGCTGTGCCAAAATTCTTCATCACCTCCAACCGCTATACAAAAATGAAAATCTCAATGCTAAGAACAGGAAGCGATATATAACTAAATAATTCAACCGTCACTTCTATATGGATGTGTAGCGTTCAGCAAGGTCTCAAACACTACTATTCGCCAGCTAGAAATTGGTTAAAGCCAGACTCTGAGAAGAGTTTTCAAGGTACCATGGTACATTAGGACGAATGACATCCTCAGGGACCTCAAAATTGATCCGATCAAAAAACACATAAAGGATAGAGCCCAAAAATTATTTACATAAACTGACAGGCTTACCAACACCGCGTTATCGAATCTCGGAATGGTTGAAGGTTCCTTGGAGAGGTATAAAGATCTGACGTCAGTTATTCCATAGTCTGATGAAGTGATAAACAATAATCCCTTCAAGGCGTAGAGAGGGGTTATGAAAAAACCTCGTAGTTAATAGAGAGTAAAGTGCTCAAGTGCACTAACTCAACTACCCTCAACATAATAATACATTTTTTATAATAATTTGCCATACAAAATTCTGAATCCCATTTAAATGTTAGAAAAAAATAATTATAGAATATATAATTGAAATAATTTAAGATTTAGATCCAACAATCTTTTTCTTATAAAGAAATACACTCAAATGCTTATATTGTTGGAATAGTCCGTATTAAATAACTTTGTAGGTTTAATTAGTAATCTGTCAGCTAATGATTTGTATATGTATTATATATGTAATTAAGAGAACTTCATCAACTTTGGCGAATATAATAAAGTACTTAAACTCCATTATTCCCTCAAAAGAAAGTAAAATATAGTGAAAGTGAAATAAGAAAAAGACAGCAAAATAATAAGCCATCATCTGCCATGCTAAGCTAGCTTTTTTAAAATGAAAACGTTATGAGAAGCACTAAGCATCTGTGCCACATGTGGCTGAACATGTGTTTAAGTACACTTTGTTATTGTTAAAGCATAAGTCTAGGAATTACAGTTGTTACCTCTTATGTCAACGTATACCTCAACGTTATCAAAATGTATATATCTATGCAATAAAATATGAACACAACCAAATAAAATAGAAATACATAAACGTGAGATGAGATGATATAGCTTTTAGACGTGTTAAACCCAGTTAAGGACATAATTTTGCTCTTGTGTAATTTTATATTTTTTATGCGAATACCTTGATTTATGCAAAATCAAGAAAATTCACTCAATTTAATTTTAATTTATATTTTTATTTATTTTTTACTGTTATGAAAATCATAAATCAAATTAAAATCTCAGCTTCAATTTGTTACCCACGTATCTTTTACGAGGTAAATGGAAATTTATTAGAGCCTAAAGTAAATAACAAAAAATACACTGTATAAATTAATAATAAATAATAAATATGTGGTAAATTTTTACACCATAAATTTAATAATTAAATTATATATGGTGTATATTTTGTAAACTATTTTGATGCTACCAAAAATATGTTTTTTATAAGTATTTAATTTCAACAAAAAGTCTAGAAAATGTGTAACATTTAAACTGGAAGCTTTTGTCAAATGAAATGAAAGCGCAGAATTGTGGTTTAATATTACATTAAAGCAATACAATTGAATAATTCGACAGACCTAATTGGTTTATGTCAAATATAATTGGTTAATGTCAGTCTTAATTGATGTGGATATGTATATACGTATATACAAAAGTATGAGTACAATTTATGTACACGTAATGCACTTATCACATTCTCAATCTCATTATCACAAAATAATTAATATAGACTATATCTATAATGACTGAATCATAAAAACGGTTCGAAACCAAAAGAGAAAGTGTTTGTTATATGAGTTACTGGATCAGGCAATTGATATCTGTGTTCTGGTGAACCTTACTAAGGGATTAAAAGATGCCCATCATATTAGTCTTTTCAGTTAATAAAACTGCATTCAAAGCATTGTCTTCTTGGAAGTTCTCTTCCAAAATTTTGGGGAATTGTTATGGCATGTTGCAGCAAATACAGGGTAGTGCTGTTTCCGAGTATCTGCCAACTGATAATCTGGTTCGTTCTAGAATCTACACTTAGGTTATCTGATTGGTCAAAATGACCTGCTTTACCATCTCGACAAAATGGAACTCTCTAAAATCCTGATATTAAAAAAATTCTCCACTGATCATATTGTTTCTCTCATTCGACCCTTTGAGTGTCATCTCTGCAGCTAAAATCGGTTTTTAGCACGAAAGACATGTCATGGTCAAAGTAGCAGGTAACCATAATTTACTAATAATAGTAGTGTCATATTATATTCTATATAGGAAATAATATTTATTATACAATTTAGGGCAAAACGTACTATACTGATGAACAAAAATGATTGTCATTATTTTTAATAAGCATTAAAAATGTAAATTTCTTCTGTAAATTATTATTCTAAACTATTTTTGGAGAACCAGCTTTTTGCCAAATTTATTACCTTAAATGTTCTCCTTTTGTTGTCCAAGTGTGCGAATTGAATGGTCTCATTCATATTAAATGACACTTATACATATTATATACAACTTAAAATGGCTAATGTACCTTAAATACTTGAATTAAAATTTTAAAATTATTTTATTTTTTATTAGCAAAACATTAATACATTTAATGATATGTGAAAATCGCAAAAATAAATATATATAAGCTTCTATAAATGTATGCAAATATTTAATACGTTATTTAAAAATTTTATGATTCATCACATATTTAAGGAATATATTTAACTTTATTTTAAATTTCATTTTAAATATAATTTTTCTATGGCAAAAAATGTTTACAGTGAATAAATAAAAAGAATGAAAATTATTTTCATGCAATCAGTCAATGCGTTAAACCTCAAAGCTGCTTTTAGCATCATTCCACACAAAACACATTAACATATTAAAATATTAAGTAATTAAAATAAATCTATAATGCTATTTTAAAGCCATGAATATTTCATAATTATGCAGTCTTTTTTTAATTTCTTTTTTGTTGAGCTTAGCAACGCCTGAATTATTTTTAATTATAACATTTCTTCAAGAGAAAATGTTCGTTACTAAGTGGAACGAATTAAGCTGCTTTCTGTTGCGTTACATAGAAATTTCTACGCTTTTCACAATGGAACCAGCAAAGCCATTTATCAATTTCATCACCTAACAGCAAAAGAACTGCAAAGGATACGCCCCAGCCATTTTGAGAGCAACTACTCGCTGGCACATGTATGAACGAGTGCGAGTATTGCATATGTGCGAGTGTGTTTATTACATAAATTAAGCGAGTATGGCGTGCAAAAATGTGATTAACTTAATTTAATAAAGGCTTGCAGGCTTTTGGAATTAGGCTTAGTCTAGTAATGTTACATTGTGTGACATGCTGTGCACCACACACTGATACCAGGCATGTGGCCTATGAGCCACGTGAGCATACCTGAGTTATGTCACAAACCCAAAATATCCTTTAATTAACCCACACATGTAATGCTGATAATTCTAATTTTAATGTCTTTTATTTATATTAAATATTACTGATTTCATTTAGTTCACTAGAGTCTTATGGTATGTGATTTATATTAATACAGCGTTTGATTCATTTTTGTTTATTATTTTTTTTTTGAATATATATATGTATTATATTTTCTTTTACAGA